CATGTGGGCCTTGCCAAGACGCACCCAGAGGCAGCCTGGGCGAGCGCCAGAGGCCTGCGGGTCTGGGCACGTGGCTTTACCTCCCCGAACCTCAGTTTCCTCATCTGCGAAAGGGATCCTGGTACCATTTGGTAGAGCTAGGGAAGGACGTGGGAGGCCAGCAGCTGTGTGCAAGAACCTGCTCCCTGCTGGCTGGGTCAGCAGACAGGCACTTGAGATCTGATCTAACTGCGGAGCCTCGGTTTCCTCACCTGTGACTTTCGACTCTCATTCTCAGCCACATAGGATCATGACAAGGCTACAGGGAGATGATTTCCTGGTGACACCTTCTCTGACACTATCTAAAACCCCTCTCTGTCTTCCCCTTCTGCCCCGCCGCCTTTTCCTCCCTGGCACTTACCGCCACCTCACGCCCTCTCAGTCTTACTTACTTCCAGGTCTGCTCACCCCACCAGCGGGGATCTGGCTGCTTGGTCCAGCCCCCTGGCTAATGCAGGTGCTCAGTAAACCATGCTCAGACAAAGGTGGGTTGAATGAATCTAGGGAAGGGTCTAGGGCATCGGGGATGCCAGCTGGATCTCGGGGATGGAGGCACAGGAGAGGAGAGCTCAGCTCCCGCGGGTGCCCAGGGCTGCCAGGAAGGCACCTGGGACTTGGATGTCAGGGTGGTGCCTGGTTTCATCTTTGGACTCTGCCTGTGGACAGTGGGTCCTGTGAGGAGTAAAGGGACATGGTGCTGACCTGGGGGCTTCTCAAGGAGCCTAGATGCTCTGGAAACAGGAATTCCCTGACTCTTGGCTTTCCAGTTTCCTTAGTTTTTTGTTTTTTTTTTAAGATTTTATTTATTTATGCATACAGAACTGGGGTTCTGGCCAGAGGTACAGAGGGGTGAGAGGACTCACCAGAGATAGAACAGGCAGATCAGTGAGCACACTGCTGAGGGGAGTAGCAGGCAGGTCAGGAGAGGCCTGCCGCACCGTGTGGGTCAGCTCCCAGGCTGGGGATTGAACTCGCACTGAAGCAGCCATCACCAGCTTCACAGTGCTGCTCTCCAACCCACTATGCCATCAGGGAGGGCCTTTCCTTAGTTTTTTTATCACACTATTTTTATCCACCACTATTGGAACAAGCTACCTGGAAGAAATGATAGCCCCAGCACCACCCAGGTTAGAGGAAACGCTCAGGACTTACAGCTGTGCAAGTCTGGGAGCACAGACTCTAGCCGAGAGCACGGGGCAGTCACTTTCCCTCTCAGAGGCTCTGTTTTCTCCTTTGTAAAGTAGGTGGAACAGTGAACCGCCTCTCCTCCACTGCTGGCCTCCAGGGCTTTTGTTTAAAGCCCAGTAAAAATGGTATTATGACCAGTCATACAAGACTGAAGGGCCTAGAAGGCAGAGGACGTGTCCATTAAACTGGACTGACCACGACTCGATGGAGGGGAGCATCTGAGCCTGCAAGTAGGACCCTGGGGCAAATCCAGCTGAAGGGCACCCTCCAACTCTGCAAATGGGGGCACCCTCCAATTCTGCAGATGGATGGGTTCTGATCAGGGAGCCGAGGCAGAGCTCACCTGGACTCTTGTACCTGGCACCTGAAACGTACTGACATGTCCTTAGCATGTTTGCAAAACAAGCTAGAAACAGCTTGTTGAGTATGACACAGTGTGGTTACTTACAGTGTAGGGGACTGAGAAAAACGCACGGAACTGGAATTCTGGACTCAGATACTGTGTTCCAAGTAACAGAAAGTCCAATGCAAACAATCTGGAGAATTAATTGACTGATGTAACCAGGATGTTCAGTGCGGGCTTCGGGCGTGGCTGTGTTCCAAGGCTCAAGCAAAGTCATCAAAGACTCAAATCTCTGCACCTGTTTTCTGCGGAGTTGCTTTACCTGCAGGCTCTCCCTTCTCACACCCTGCCACACACCATCCAGGTAGCAAGAGTTTTCCAGCATATGGCAGTCAGGACCACCACAGAGCTGCTGAGGTCAGGATCATTCCCACCAAAACCACTTGGCTGGATGCAGGAGAATCACATCCCAAGAAAACTTTGTGATATTGTTAGGAAGGAGTAGGTTTTGGGTGGCCAAGAATTACAGCAAATACCTACTGCAGTCATCAGAGGGGGAGTGTGGAAAGTCATAGAAACAGCCGCCTAGCACTTTACAGTTTGCAAAGTTCCTTCCTTCCCAAGAAACCAGTATTGGAGGCAGAATGATGTTCATTACGCTGAACAGATGAGGAAACAGGCCCGGAGTGTTCTTCCACGTCTCTGACGTGACCCTGGGCTGCCTCTACCCACCTCTACCACTCTGCAGGGTCATAAACCCACGAGGGCTGACCTGGGAGGCTGGCCCCCTTCATGGAGAGAGTGCTCAGCCAGCATTGGGAGCCAGAGCAGCTGCAATCACGTGAACGCCCAGGAGGAGCAGCCTGACCTGAGGACCGGTCACGGGGCAGCTGCTGGGCACACAATGGGGGTTCTGTAGCGCTCAATACCAGGACACCCCCCCCACACACACACACACAACACACATCTCACAGAGGCTCAGGGAGTTCATGAGACCACGTTCCCTGGCGCTGGGGCGGCCTTGGGTGGTGGAAGTCTCCCTTGGCCACGACTAGGAGGGAGCAGCCCCATGTGGCCGAATCCCGGTTCTCCCACGTGGTGCTGCCTGAAACTTCACTGCCTTTGGGCTCTCTGGGCTTCCGGTTTGCCTTCTCATTCAGAACTGTAATTCTTGGAAGGCTGAACAAAGAGCTCCCAGCACATAGCAGGTCCATTAAGAGTCTCTGCCTTCCTTCTTCATAGTGTTCTGTTAAGAGCTGTGTGACCTCCGCCAGGTTACTTCATGTCTCTGTGCAGGTTGCATGAATCAATGTGCGTGAAGCCCTCAGGACACTGCTGGCACAGCTCTGCCATCAGGACTAGCTACCCTCGGCCGGCTGTTGAGGGAGTGCCAAGCCCTGGACCTTTATCTCATTGTTTATTGTTGAATTCTCATTCTTAGGACAACACAGTGTTACATGGCGGTGATCCTTTTAACACATGAGGAAAACGAGACCCAGGAAGGTGGGAGCGCTGTGGCCAAGGTCGTGCTAATCAGCCACGGAGTTGGGGAGGGGAACACCCGTGTGAGCCCTGCAGCTCCCTTGGGCTGCGGCCCTCACCGCAGAGGGCATGGGCTCCGGTCTCCGGGCTCCGGGCTGGGTGTTGGTGGCCCCATCCCTGCCCGATTCTTCCCAGAGTCACTGTGAACATTTCATTCAATAGTGGCCGGAGCTGGAAGGTTCCCTGGAAGTGTAAGGGACACTGTTATCGCGGGCCCAGCTGGAGCGAGCACTATCTCTGGGAACATCCGTGTGCTCCCTGTTCTGACGCCAGCCGGGTGTTCTCAGGCCCCTGCACAGGCCAGTGGGCAGGTTACAAGTTCATGGCCCGCTTCCCCACCCTGCAGGGTGGCCTCAGCCTCCTCTCCCAGGGCCATGTGGGGCCAGCTGTGGGAAGGAGGCGCCCTCTCCACACGCTGCCAGGGTGGCCAGGCCGGGAGCCAGGCTGTCATGGTGCCCTGTATGAGGACCAGCGAGTTGGTGTGTGTGGGGAGAGCTGTGTCCAGGGTCACTAGCCCGAGGGGCTCCGCCTTCCCCCGCCCCGACCTTTCCTAAGTGGTCTCGCTGCAGGGCAGGCCACAGGCGCGGTGCAGAAATCAGGGATTGTCCTCAGTTCTGGATGTGACCCTGCTTTCCTGCTGTGACCTGAGCAAGTCCCTCATCTCTCTTGGGTCAAGTGGGGCTAAGGGGAAGCTCTCCTTCTGGGGGTGTGATTCATCTGGAAAGAAATGGCATTTGGGAAGAGTGTGTACTGCGTACAGATCAAACAGTAGCTGCATGCAGTGCACTTGGGAAGTGCTTATTGCAGGTAATGGATCGCCCTGGCAGATGGTGGTTGGTTTCCAGTCTTGCCTGCTGCTCCAGGGGTTTACACTTGGAGCAGCCTCCACAAATAACACTGAATTCCAGTTTGGTCCCTTGCTAGCTGTGTGGCCGTGGGCATGCTACCTGACTTCTCTGTGCTTCTGTTTGGTTATTTGGAAATGAGGTTAGAACAGGGCCTAATCCCTTGTTGGGATTCAGTGAGTTGATGTAGGTAGAGTATTTGCTATTATTGCTATTAAGAATACAATGACTAATGTGAGGTTTTTTTCTAGAATCATCTAAGTTCGAAATGTTCACCTCACTTGATACAAAGCATTAATTTCTGGAATTCTGAGACCTTGATGTCCACACTATACCTTTAAAACTGCCATGTGCTTCTAGTACTGGCCCCACCCCATTCTTAGCTGGATAGTGGGGCGACCGGTCTCTGCACTGACTGCTGTGTGACCCCGTGGGTGTCCTGCACCCTCTCTGCGGTTGGGGGAGCAAGGAGCTCCAGGGCAGCCAGGTGCCGAGGTGCTGCTGCAGGGGTGCAGTGCCCAGGACCAGCATGTGGGGGTGACAGCTACCTTAGCGGCACAGAACACCTGCCCCTCCCCCACTCAGTTTCCTGGCCCAGAGCCAGGCGGCCGGGGACAGAACGTTCCTCTCTGGGATGGTGGCAGCCCATGTGCCCCGGGAGCGGCCACCCCTGCGGCGGCTCTGTGGGCGCCCCGGCCCCCCGGGCTCAGGCGTGACTGAGGGCCCTGCCATCTCGCTGCGGTGCCCCTTGCCAGCTCTCCTCCCACCAGCTGAACCTCGCCTGGCTGCAGACCTCTGCCCACAGAGCCGGCCTGTGGCTTCAAACCGTCCGGTCCCCGGGGAGCCCCAGATTATCTTTAGTTCCAGAACCCAGCTCTGCTTCTGATTCGGCGCTGCTGGGCGGCCTTGGCGAGCTTCGGCGTCCTCACCTGTAAAATGGGGCCGGCGGGAGGCATGTAAGTGAGAGGTGTGAGGGTCCGCCCTGACCAGGCTGAGCTGGGGCGCAGCCCTTCGTGGGGTGCCGGGCTGCCTCTGCCTGGCCGCGGCCATCTACCCGGCCTTTCTGTCTGACCCTCGGCGTTCGTTCCTGCCTCCGGCCTTTGCACATTCGAACCCTCTGGCTGGGAGCACCCTGTCTGCTCATCTCCGTCCATGCAGCCTGGCTGCCCTCCCGCCCCCTCCATGGAACCTTCCTGGCTGACCCTGGATGTTCTCTGTCTTTCAAGAGGAAAAGAAAGCGTCAGACTGTCTGGTGGGTTATTTGCTTCTTCCTCTGCGTGTGTATGTGTGTGAGAGAGAGAGACACCAACTGACGGACAGACAGAGCATGGCCTCCCGGGAAGCATGGGCTCTTTTGACTGCAGGAACAGGGACCACTTCCTCGGCAATATCACTCCCACCCACCACTCCACAGAGGGCGCAGGATAGTGAGCTTTTGGCCTCTGGAGTCTTAGAGCTAGAAAGACCTCATCGGACTTCTCGGTGAGCAGGTCTGTGGGGACCCCAGGAGCTGTGGGCCTTGTGGGCCAAGGAGAGTCTCAGTGTCAGCTCCAGGCCTTTGCCCACCTGCCTGTCCCCTGCCCATCAGCCCCTTCCCCACCCCACAGCCCCTCCCCACACTGCTTGCCAGCCTCCACTGTACACAGGCCAGGCCCCAGGTGACCTGTCTGCTTCCCACAGCACCGTCTGCTCCCATTCGGCTCCCACTTTGCAGATGCAGAGCTGAAGGCCCAGGGACAGGCACTGGCTCTGGTGACCTGGCTCCAGACCCCGCTTCTGCTGCCGAGCAGCCTCTTGCTCGCTGACCGAGCCGCCCGCCCACCAGCATTCCCTGCCTGCCCGGCCCCAAGGCTGCCAGGCTGCGCCACCAGCTTTGGTGAGGGGGTGACCGCCACTGGCTCCAGGACTCTACTAAGTGCCACCAAGGTCTTGAGGGCCCAGGGCTCTGGAGCTTGGGGGCTGGGAGGCTGCTGGCTACCACCTGGGCTGGGCGGCGGCGGTGAGTAGCCTGGCAGAGAACTGCGGTGGAGGTGCAAGGACAATGGGAGAACTTCATGGAGTGGACAGCAGGGAACATTCCAGACCTAGGAATGCAGTGTGCTGAGGTATTGAGGCTGGAGGTGTTTGGGGACAGCTGGCGTCTCCTCAGAGCCCTAAAGATGCAACGGTTTGGGGAGGGGCTAGGCTCCAAGCCTCCCTAAGTACTCCCACTTCTGTGTCCTGCCAGGAAGGGGTGCCTTTGTGGCGAAGGTCTGGGCCTTGCTCTGTCCGCAGCACCTCTCGGGGGAAGTGGCTCCCTGAGTCTGACCTGCAGCCCACCCGGAGGACCACACATTCCTTTCCCGGCCCTAGGCCCACAGGCTGCTTCATGGCAGCCGTAAATAACTCCCCTCAGTGAATGAGCACAGTCCCGGCCAGCAAGGCTGGCCAGAGACGCTGGACTTGGCTGAGAGAGGGACTCCGTGTCCCTTCTGTCTGATCCTGCAGCAGACAGGTTCCTGGGCTGGGCTTCAGCTGTGCTCCCTCCCTGGGCAGCTGCTGCAGCCCCATTCAGAGCTTCAGGAGTCCCTCAACCTCACCCTGCTCCCTGCTGCCCCCAGTCCCACACAGGCCCCCAGCACTGGAACCTCAGCTCCATGAAATAGCCAAGAACGCCCACAATCAGCCAGAGCACACTGCTCCAGGCTGGCTCTGATTCCCCCTGTGTGTCCGGGGGGTGTCGGGGATGTCGGGGTGGGAGCCCAGAGTGAGGCTTTCTTCTTTAGGACTCAGTCTTCTCTTCTGGGAAAATCCCTAAGCAGTGTTTTCCAGACTTACCTTTTCACAGAAGGACTTGCCAGGCTGTGCCCTGGGAGCTTCCGAGTGCGTAGGTCTGGGGTGGGGAGAATAGGAATTTGTGGGGAGGAGGAGTGAGGTATCTTCACTAAACCCTCTTCTTTCCCTTCACCCCCATGTGTCAAGCTCCTGTCTCACTGGCCCCTCACAACCGCCTAGCCCTGTGGGGATATATGTCTGCATCTTTACCCACCTTCCAGATCGTTATCAAGAACTCTTCTATTGCCCCAGAAAAATCCCTCCTGAACTTCCATTGGTTCCCCTCCCCGCCTGGGAATAGGGCTCCTCCCACGGTCACACACCGACTGACTTTGTGGCCTGGTCCTCTTGGGGAATCCATCCCAAGGACCCTTTCCAGCCCGGAGCTTCTGGGATTGTGAGCTCTGAACTGGGGCTGCCTGAGGACTGTCGCCCCTTGGGCCCTGCAAGTATGACTGGGAGCACAGGTGACTCTGTGGGTCACCTGTTTGTGAGTCTGAGAATGGAGATTTAGGGGGGGCCCAGGCCTGGAGCAGGGGTGACCCCCGAGTAGGTCCTGTGCAAGGTTTGCTTCCATTCGTGTGAGCTTAACATCGAACCACCCACGTCGCCATTCTCTCACCTGGACAGGGGATGCCAGTGTCCAGCTCCCAGAGTTACTGAGGGTTAGAAAACAGCACAAGCTCAGCACACCTAGGTGGTCTCCTAAGGATGACATTGAACAGGACAAGAGCCTCGAGGGGGTGATGGTGGAAGGCGGTGATGCCAGGGCTCGGGCCAGACACTCTGGCTGTGTGGCGCAGACTTCGTGACTGAGCCTCAGTTTCCCCGTGTGTCAGAAGGGTTACTAATCCCAAAGTGGAGAGGATCTGATGAGGTTTAAGTTAAGGGAATGGGGAGAAGGGAAAAGCCTGGAGAAATGCCCCTGGCTGTCCTATTTACAAGTGCCTTTGGTGGCCTCTCTGGGTTTTATTTTTAATTTTATTATTTTATTTTATTTTCTTGCATTATTGTTCATTTTTGTACAATATTTGATTTCTCCCCTCAGGTGTTATCCCCATAAATCTCCCATCACTTCCCACCATAGTCCCTTGCGCTCTCCCTGCCCTTTTGAATCCCTCCCTCCCTTCCTCTTATGCTGTTGCCTCAGATCTATAATTTGCCTGTTAGTTTTGTCCTTTTTTCTCTGACCCTTTGTTCAGTTTCCCTTTGTTCCTCTTGTACGTGAAAACATCTGTTTTCTTTTTCCTTCTGACTTACTTCACTGAGCATAAGCCCCTCCATCTCCATCAATGTTGCTGCAAATAGCTGCTTGATGGCTAAGTAGTATTCCGTTGTGAATCTTTTTGATCTAGTCATCTGTTTTGGGGCATTTAGGTTGTTTCCATAACTCAGCTATTGTAAATCGTGGTACAGCAAGCAGGGATGCTGGGTCATTTGGTGGGCCCATTTTTAGGAGTTTGAGGGCCCTCTGCTGGCCTTTCTGGAGCCAGGAAGGGGATACACCCCTTGGGCGGTCAGGGGCAAAGCATCCCCCTGACCTTGGGTGTGTCACCCCACTGGATCTGAGGTGTCCCAGGACACAGGAATGTGTGGGGAGAAGCCTGTTCTCAGCCTCCCTCCTGGCATGGCTTCCCGCCTCTGGGGGTGCAGCGGCTTCCTCTCTGAGCCTCAGTGAATGAACCTATCAGATGGGAGCCACAGTCAACACCCTGACTTCGAAGATGCTCTGGGAACCCTCAGGAGAGTGCATAGTGGGGAGCGCTTTGGGAGCAGACGGGCCTTCCACAGCGGGTGTGCGCTGAATCTGGTGACAGCAGGCTTCAGGCCAGCACCTCGCAGAGGCTGGCCCGCAGCCTCCTTGCTGCTCTGCAGGGCTGGTGCTGTGCCAGTTCTGAGGCAAGGCAGTGCAGCCTCGGGGCTACGGGGCCAGGCAGATCTGGGTTCCCAGAGCCTGTGCCCTGAGCCTGTTTCCGTCATCTGTAAGTGGGGACACTGGTCTCTAGCTCTCAGGGTCTGGCATACAGTTGGTGCTCAGTGCAAAGGGTTCCTTTCATTCTGCACATGGGTTCAGCCCTCCTGTGGAGACCGACCAAACTCAGGTCTGGCCTCATACACGGGCAGCTGGGGGTCTCTCCTTCTGGGTGTTTATCCTCAGGGTGCCCAGCACAATAGCTGGCACACAGTAGACACTTTTTCTCTACTAGCCAGTTAGAAATCTGAGGGAAGACAGACACTGTTTCTGCCCTTTTCCCCACCGGCCCTCGCACCCAGCAGAGAGGCAGACACCCTGCAGGTTCTCGAATTATCCGGGACTGAAGAGTGAAGGAGCACCAGGCGAAAGGCCGGGCTGTGTGTGGAGCTTGGTGAGCTGGGCCCCATTGCCCGCTTCATCCCTCTTGGGCTAATCCCCAAAGATTAGCAGGGCCGGTCACGGTCATGGCCCCGTGCTCTGGAGGCCGTGTGCAAGTGTAGGGTGGCCAGGCATGTACGGATGTGGTGGCCGCTCTGAGGGACCCTCTTTGCCCAGAGATGGCCCTTCTGTCCCCTACCCTGGATGTGGTCCTCACGACAGTCCTCAGCCTCCTCCTCCTCATGCTGGCCTTGAGCCTACTCTGCTTCTTCACCTGCCGCCTGGCCAGGCCTCTCAGGTAGGAGAACTCACCTTGGTCAACAACTGCCCCTGCAGGTCTCCTGCCCTGAAACCATCTGGCTTCCGTTTGCTCTGGTGGGGTAGAGAAAAGGTGAACCTCGTCTCCCCTGCTCCAAGGTGGGGATTGGAGGGCTCTGGAGGCCTGGTCAACCTGAGTTGAATTGCGCTTGGCCATGGATTAGCTGGGAGCCTCGCTCTGTTTCCTAAACTGTAACAGGAGGGCTAAGGATGCATAGGCAGCCACAGCTGCCCAGGGCCGGCGCACAGCTCGCTGCAACACAAGTGCCAAGAGCTGGTGGTGACTCCTACCAGGCCTGCTGTTCTGCCACTGGTCCCGGATGCTTTGAGACCCAGCCCAGGCTGGCATTTTGCCTGACTCCAGGGGGCTTCTGTGCCCTCTGCCCCAGGGTGCCGCGTCAACCTCCCGACCCAGCCCCAGCCCTCTGCCCCTTTCTTTGACCTGGCAAGAAGCTGCTCCTCCTGGCCGGGAGCCTGGCCCAGGCGTCTGCACATTTGTCATGAATAATCAGGGCACGTAGCTGGGAGCCTGGAGGAGAGGGGGTGGGGGTGATGGGACTGACCCACGCCCGGAGGCTCCCTTCCGAGCTGGTAGAGCACTGGCAGACGGTGGTGGGCAGCCAGCCCCTAGCAGCCCCAGACTGGGCCCCACAGAATCCATCACCCAGAGCTGCCACAGAGCGGTGGCGGTGGGGGTTAGGGGGCAGCCAGCAGGGAGACACTGGCTTCTGGAGGGGTTCCTAGATTCCCATCCCCCTCCTTTCTGG